CAATATGTTTCGGGCAAGGGAGAAGGAATTCAGGTAAACAAGCGAATCAGTAACAGGACAATAGGTTTGGGAAAACAAATCGTGCCTAATCTCTTTCTTATCGCTGACAAGTCTCCAACATGTCGTATACAGCATAGAGGCCTGTGGGGGCTGCAGCTGTCAATAGTGCAGCCATGTTTAAATGGCATATATCCCCACAGGTAACAGCATATAAAATGGTTATGGGGCAAAACCAAGCACTGTATGATTCAGGGAACTGCAACTAATTTGGTAATAGCTGGGGTATACTCTGTAAATTATGGGTGTTGATAAAAGCAGCAGGAATAGTAAACAAAGCACAGATGATGAGGGTCCGTACATCTCATACTAATGTTTCTGGATTAAAATCAATGGGAAGATACTGAAATTTTAAGATAGTATGTATGTTTGAATGTGATAACAATTGGCACTCTGAGACTGAGCTGGCCACCCTGAAAACACTTTTGAAACTTACTTTATGCCTGAATAGCACTCTCCTATGACGAGCTGGCTGCTCTCCCAAATTGCAAGTGTAGTTCATAAATAAATGAAAAGTTAGTTATTTAAGAGTTAGTTAATGTTACATCTATTATTTAAACTGGAAAGGGGTTCCAAAAGAACTACGTGTTCCAGTATTTCTCAAACTGTTTTCCCAAGAACACTAACATATTAATAAAAACAAAAATAAAACATGATCAGATGGAAATTAGGAAACAGCTGCATTGTACAGCTACCTCTTGCAGTTTACAAAGAATACTAAAATATTAAAGTCTCCAGGACAGTATATCTTTACAATCTGCATCAGAATCTGTTGGGATGCTTGTTAAAAATGTACATACCTGGATACCATCCCAGATCTAACATGGCAGAAACTCTGAGTGCAGGTTCCAAGAACCTTCATTCCACCCCCCCTCCTTTTTTTAAATTCTACTTTAGATGAAGGTTTACAGAACAAACTAGTTTCTCATTAAAGACTTAGTACACATATTGTTTTATGATAATGGTTAACAACCCCATGACATGTCAACACTGTCCCTTCTCAGCCTTGAGTTCCCTATTACCAGCTTTCCTATCCCCTCCTGCCTTCTAGTCCTTGTCCCTGGACTGTTGTGCCCTATTAGTCTCATTTTGTTTTATGGAACTGTCTAATCTTTGGCTGAATGGTGAACCTCAGGAGTGACTTCATTACTGAGCTAAAAGGGTGTCCAGGGGCCACACTCTCGGGCTTTCTCCAGTCTCTGTTAGGCCAGTAAGTCTGGTCTTTTTTTCTGAGTTAGAATTTTGTTCTACATTGTTCTCCAGCTCTGTCCGGGACAGAACCGTCATTTTTAATAATCTTTCCGGGTGATTCTGATGCACTCTAAAGACTGATAACCACTTCTTTAACAATTTATACAGTAAAGAAACTTACTATTTAACTCTGAATTTCACAAACATATTGGACTACAGGATAGTTTTCTTTTAAGATGATGTAGAACTATTATTCTTTTGACACACTTTGGAAAAAGGCTCACATTTCCTAATATTAATCATCTTCAATTGTGAGAATTTCAGTAGCATTTTCTAAAAGTTTCAATAATTCAGCAACTGTAAATAATTTTTTGAAAAACATAAAGAAATTTCAGCCAAAACATCATTAAGAAGATATAGTAATCTCATAAATTCATTCCATAGTTTTCATCTTTTTTTCTTCAATGTATCAGAACTCTTCTGTCAAATGCAACCCTACCAGGAAATTATATATATATATGCCAACTTGATGG